CAAAAAGATCAGGTCTTCCGTAAGTTCGTACATAGGCGAATGCGTCTTGTGTGTACTGATGTAGGTAGCGGGGACTGTTAACGAATGATGAGGGCAGAATAACCATTTTATCTAGATCTCTGGGGTTTACATTTGCGTCGCTAGAAACTGCATCTTGTAAATGTATATAATTCTCAACGCACAGCTTTTTTTTGATTTAAAGATATATAACGGAGACTTTCACTTTCTACATTCATATAAATGTCTACCAAAAATTTATGAAATAATTGTCTACACCGGGCTAAGAGGTTAAAATTATTTTCTCGCAACATCATACATGATACTTATGTACTTACTTACTATAATACATGATACTTTTTTGTTCGGAGTAGGCACCTTTGTGACCGGGTTAATGAGTGGAATTTGAAAATGATAACCCTCTTGTCCTTTGCAATAAATCAATGGGTATTGCAGAGCGTCATAAAACTTGTGTATATCGGCTACCCGTTGCAACGTATCATCACGTGCTCGCAAGACAATGTCTCGTGAAGAAAATTGATCACCACTAATTACGGCTGCTATTTCGTTTATCGAAGGTACATTGTAGCGCCTTTCATGCTCTCCTCGAGAGGTCCGATCTGAATGAATGACGACTTCATAATCCTCTTCAGGTAGGTTATCTAAAGCAGTTTTAAATGTTTTGACTAAAATATTACGTTCATGCAAGAATCTTTGAATTTTGAACACTGTTTCTCTATCAAGTCCCTGTATAAATTGGCAGCGACGGTCTACCTCAATTTATTCGTCACACATAAAATATACTTGTAAAAATTTATGCTGTTCGTTTTCAGCTGTGAAAAAGTGAACCTATTCTATGATAAATTTGCCCTTGCACCGTAAATGTAGGCGAAAATCCCAGCATTATTATTTCCTGGTCAACTCCGAAGGACGTCATTTGAAAGCATGAGTTATATTCCCGGATCCTGTTTAAAAAGCGCCGTGACTCATTAGCATCATATAAAAAGAGAGTTTTCAAAGGTTCTTCTGGTTCCCCAAGTAACGGAAGAGACACTTTGCCATTGTAACAGCACATGCCTGCGGTCCCATCTTTCCATTTTAAAGCGCTGCAAAATCGACACGCCTTGTCCAACAGTCCGATAACAACTAACCTGTGATTTTTATAATCAATCAACGGATCAAAATTGAATGCTGCGTCATTAAAAACCGACCAATTTTTTCTTTGAAAATTTTGTCGACGTTCAGCTTGGAGCTGTGCATTTGCATCTCTTCGCGCCTGTGTCTGTTCTGGTGTTTCAGATTCCCTTATAGTATATTGTCGTTCAGCTTGCTCAATGAGTCTGTGTTGAGTTTCATCAGGTGTTTCCGCGGCTTTTAAGGCGGCCTGACGTTCCTCTTGTTCGAATTGCCTTTGTTGACTTTGAGCAGGTGTTTCAGTAGCTCTTAAAGTAGCTTGACGCTCTGCCCGTTCAAGATGGCTTCGCTGACTTTGAGAAGGTGTTTCAGAAGCTCTTAAAGTAGCTTGACGCTCTGCCTGTTCAAGTCGCCTTTCCTGACATTGAGGAGGTGTCTCAGATGCTCTAAAAGCAGCATGACGCTCTGCTTGTTCTTACCTTCTCAGTTCAGCATCTTCTAAAGATTCTATTGATCGAGATAATCTTTTCGCTTGTCTTTGTGAAGATACTCTTGAAAGGCTGGACTTACGTTTGCGAGGCATTATGAAGTAACAAAAACCTATTTATAAACACAAAGTTACAATACCTAAAAGGAATTAGATTTCCTTTTAAATATTTTTTTTAAAAACAAATCCAAAATATCTAAAAGGAATAAATATTCCTTTTAAATATTTTTAAAAATCAAAATAACAAAACCAATTCAAGACACAACACGATTCCGAAAACGATAGCCAAAAAAAGTCGAATCAACTTAAATCAAATCACAAAACAAATCGCAGAAAACTGAAATCGAAAGCAGTAGTCAATATAAATATAACCAACGAAAAAAGAAGTAAGTGTATAGGTACCGTATACACTATCCATACTATTAATATTCCTTTGAAATATCGTTAAACAGCCTAAAACGATGAAAACCAATTCACGATTCTAAATAAACAAAATCCAAAATCAAACCCAGAGTCTATGTATAAAGGAATACCAACCAAATCAACAAAACCGATCCAAGAAAATACACAAATCGGAAAATGAAACGCAGTATAAATCCATTCAACCTTAACCAAATCACAATACAAATAACATACAACCGAAATCGAAAGTAAGTAGTCGAATAAGTTACGAAATACAGATAATTTAAGCGTATAGGTACCGTATGCACTATAAGTTGACGCGCGGCTCAACGGCGGGAGTTAAGTACATGTCAGAAAACATTTCGTTACTGCGTTTTAAAAACCTAGTAACGACATCTAGCGGAATCAATTTAAACTATGTATACGTTAGTTAATAAGAACTCTCAAAAAATATTTTTCTTATAATTTTACACAATTTTTCTTATTGTAATACCGATTCATTCATAACCACATATAAGAACTGTATTCATTTCCGCTCAATAAATATTACTAAGGCTTATTAATAAGGCTTACTAAAAACTGTTTCTACCACAGTTAAGTAATAGTTAAGGGTGAAAGCGTGACAGGTGGTGATAGTATTTCTGATCCATACTTATAATCACGCCTGTAACCCTTGCGGGGTAGGCAGAGCATCAACGGATTACTTAATATCGTCTGCGAGGTTATCGCCTATTTTGTGAATTACAATGCACCAAAACGTTTGAATAAAATCAGCTGGTGAATTTTATGTTTTTTATCGCTCTCTTCCCGGTCCTGCGTGGGAAAATACAGATCCATACATTTTTTATCTTAATTTTGTCAAAAAGACATAATAATCCAGATATTCTGACACTTTTCTCCATCGTACCGTCGTCCGTCTTATAGAATCACGGTGGCGCCCCTAGCTGAATTAATTTAGCAAAATATTCGATTTTCCTACGGGAACGATATGTTTTTCCGCTGAAAAAAGCCTATGTCACTCTACAGCCACCGAACTATCCCCATACAAAAAATCATGCCATGTCGACGCTCTGTTGCGACGTGAAAGAAGGACAAACGAACAAAAAAACAAACACACTTTCGCATTCATAATATTAGTATGGATTAGTATTAGTATGGATATCAACAAAATTACTAACTAATCGTCGAAATATTAATATAGTAATGCATTAATATAAAATTTTTGATGTGACCTTTTTTTTTCTTTTTTTACTTGTTTGGATCGTTTGTACGACTAAAAACGATACTTTTAAGTAGGTACATTAAGTAAAGTTAGGCCTCCATACGTCCTACGACTGGGAACATGACTCGTCATCATCTCTGATTTCTGAGAGGGTTATAAAACAATTAGTCAGCGGCGCTTTCCAGTGTGTGATGGTGGACTTTAAATCTATTTGGATAATTTTTATTTCTTTAATAATTTTTATTACATATGTTTCCGAACGATGTGTTGTGATGTGTTCACCGCAGAGCACGTGGTAAATCAGTACTTATTTCAGTTAACCATTTCCTTGATGCCAATGACTTATATTGTATCTCATTTTTAATCAACCTTAAAAATTAATTTATAAATTTGCTATTTTAAATGTATATGGAATTTTTTGCCAATTTTAATATTTCTTTTATCATAAAAAGTGTATTATCACAGTTATCACAAATAAATTTTAACCTAATCTGATAATAATTAAAGCCAAGACAAATTATATATAATATGTATGTAAGTGGCGACTTTTTCACTGAGTGAACTCTCTGTATTTTTTCCACCAGTTTCTCGACTCCACAGAGTTAGTATAATTCATTCTTGGGGCAATGTATACGCTATTACAACAAAGTCCCAGAAAATATACAAGGTCTCTCCATTACCAAGTTTAAATATTTAATTAAACAAAAACTGAATAAAAAGGGTTATTATGATATAAATGAATACATGGTTGATATAACCCCTGGGAGTGAGGTGGTTGCTTCCAAGCTGTTTCTAATTTTGTTAATAAATTTTGTAAATATTCTGTGGCCCATTGTAAAATTTATTTAAAAAAAGTACCGCTCGGTTTCTTGCTGGTTCTTCCCAGGGGTTTTTTCAAACCAGTGGTAACTTAAAATATTGACTTACAATAAGAACTACTTATAATCTATATTGAACAAAAAAATTATTTTTTTATTTATTTTATAGGATAGGGTGACAAACGAGCACAGAGTCCACCTAATGGTAAGTGGTTGCTGTGGCCCATAGACATCTACATCTATCCTCGATTAGGAATCAAAATGCAGATGCGTTATCACCCGTGAGAACTAACATGGAATGCCTCGTTTTCAGTAAAAAGGGTCTCTTGTTTTCTTCACTCAGCATTCGAAACACAGCAGCATTAAGCTACTATTTTATGCTGGTAATCTGTGAGAGCGTGGTCCTTCCCCAGTCAAGCCGACGTATTCGTGCTACAACTATACTTCTAATATAACTGCAGCATGGCTCTACCACAAAAATATACTATATCCTTCAGACCAGAATATACCTGTACCAGAATATACCTGTCACCAAAAGCAGTGCACGCACTGCTTTTGGTTACAGGTATTGGTAAAAGTTTGACACAGTCAGACTCCAGTCAGGAAAGAAGTCGTAGCACCTAGTAACATACCATAAACAAAAAAATTCTTACACTTTACTCAAATAATACCTACACTAACTATTCTCACTGCAAGCGAAAATTCAGGAAAAAAAGTGCTCAATTGCTTCACAGTTATTTATTCGTTAAATAGCGTTAATATTTACAACAAAGTTAAATTTTAAATTGAATTGTAATACAATATTTTTTTTATGATGACGTTTTAATATTATTTTAAATAATGTTGGACAACAAATTACTCTAAGAAACTTATAGTACACAACATTTACTGTATTAATGTTTTTTTTTTTTTTACGCTAATAAATTATTCTAATTAACAGGACCAGTGTAGGAAGGGACAACAGCATTCGGCTTTTAAATAACGGCTCTTCGAAACTCTGAGAAAGGAACAGAGGTCCGCGTAATGCGGCCAATAACAATACAGAACGTACCAAGGAGAACTATAGCAAGAGTTCGAGTTTAGTGTTCAAATCAAACAATATGGCGCCATTTCCGAAGTGCTGCGAGAGTGGGAACGGTCTAAAACACGTAGAAACGAGACTCGATTGTAAAGATGTTAGTAGCACTGATAGTTTTTATTTACCACTAGATGGTTCCTTTAGGCGCTGTTAATAGAATTAGTTTCATCTTACTATATGTGTAAATATAAATTACGTATAAGAAATCATTAAGTATAAAGTGTTAATGATAAAGTGTTATGGTATTGTAAGATAACTAAATGTGTAATAGTTAAAGTCATGTGCAACTACATATATCTTAAAGTATAATTTGAACTTTTTATTTGTTATATTATTTCCTAAACTTTCCATGAATTTATTTCAAGGAAAAGATAGAGTTGATAAGAATTAAATATTTTATTAACTTTCTATTTGAATAGTGTTGTAATCTTCTTCTTGTAAGTTCAACTTTAACTTGATAGATGTTGTGAGAAACCAATAATCCAGTTTAACATTTTCGTAAGGATCTTAGGTTCTGAATTTCATGATGATTTCATCATGATTCCTTATTACAAACTATCTGAAGTCCACCGCTGAACTTAGACCTCCCAAATAGTTGGCCTCATATGGAGGATCCTGCCAATCATGCCAAGCTGGGCAGGAGTGTATGCAACCGCAGTTTTTTTACAATGCCGATATAAACTGTTATTATATATATTAACTAACTGTTTATGTCAGGATGTTGCTCCCACCCCCTGTTTTTGTGCTTCTGTGACACTGACGGGATGATATTGGATTGTAGGTATTTTTACGTCGCCCCTGCGCAGCCGGTTCTGAATATTATGTAATATAGTTCTAAATATGGTTAGAGAAATTTATTCCAATACGAACATTATAGTGATATTCCTGTTTTCCTATTCCATATACCAGCTTTGCCATTTTTTGTCACTTCTTCTGTGTACTTTAGTAGTGAGGAATTCCCGGACCACATTTTTTTTAAATGCATAACATAGAATTCAGCGTAGGTACAACAGATTCTGATAAAAAAACCAAATGCCGTATGGAGATTTGAATTGACGGTTTTTTTAAATGTTAGCAAAGTGTAAAATATACTACTGAATATACATTCATACATTGAGAATTGAATAAGAAAAATGCGTTTTAAAAAACGAAATAAAAATCTAAAAGTTGCAAGTGAAATGTGAGACGCACGATGAGTTCATCGATGACTATGATGATCCGTGCAAAGTAACTGATAACTGCCGGGTGTGTAAAACCGAAGATCGTGTAAGCTGGCATATGGAGAGAGTCTACGTCTAGCAATGGACTGGTCTGGAAGCTAATGATAACAATATAAATATCATAAATCATATCAATTAACAAACCGGTCACTATTTTGAACAATTGAGATAGAGCTTACAGTCTGTTTGTTAATGAGAAGAGATGAGCCACTCCACCTAATGGTAAATGATTGCCATTGGCCGTGCGTCTATCTTCGCAAAGAACCAAAATGTAGATGTGTTGTCTCCCTTAACAACTTACACGAAATACCTCGTTATCTGTAAGAAGGATTACGTTTGTATACTTTGTAACGCAGCAGCATTAAGCAACTACTTTACGCTCGTGTTCTGCGAGAATGTGGTACTTTGCCGATAAAAGTTCGAACGCATTAAAATTGTATTAAGTAATGTCAATCAAATTTAAAGAACGTAATTAATTGAGCTGATACTTTATGATCTCAGATTTTTAAATGCTTATCATTTGAATATTTGGCACATTCGTCAAAAATATTGTAATTTTTAAATAAAATTCTAATAGTAATTAATATCAAACAGAAAATCAACTTAATAAAAATGTGTGTTTACGTTTGTTTTTTTTTTTTAAATTTTCGATGAAATAATCTTACGCTTAAATGTTAGTTAAATCGAATTTCTGTATTGTAAATAAAATTCTTGTAACACATATTAAGGATTAAATTTTAAAAATACCTAAACGTGTTTTACTGAAACCAAAAATATTACCTTATACAATGTATGTGATATGTAATGGTTACGTCTTTGATTCATCCTCACTTTTGAATTAAAAGGATATTCATACATGTTAGCCGACATCACAAAGAGGTGGTCCTAAATTCAATTGTGTTTTTTATGTTACGCGATATCTTCGTCAATTGTGAATCGATTTTAATGATACTTTTTTTAAAACCTTTTTAACTTTAGGAGTAGTCCCATAAAAAATGGAAATAAAATTGAAATAAAAGCTACCCCTAAATGTCGCAAAATAAGAGATAAAGTTTTAAGGGTACCATTTAGACGACATTGAGATTTTAATATACCTTAGTCCACTCAAAAGGGTAAAAAAACAACTTTTATTAAAATAGTTTCAAAGAACTAAAAATAATAAAAGAATTTCACAACAATATGTCTTGACACCGTCAGAATATAATTTAATTTATGTTTTAGGTATTTAAATTTGACTTTTACTTTTTATTATATCTTGAATTTTTCATTGCAGCTCTCATTTTATTTGTTGATGTTTATTTATAGATAAAAATCAGCGTGTCAAAGATATGTAACATCTAATATAACAATCGTTAATCTGCCTGCCAAGCATGGCGAAGGCAGATCCGCCCAAGGGGTGAAGCCCATGTCAGACAGTGAATTTTGTGGGCTATTGAAGATAAAGGACAAGAAAAAATACAAAATGAGAATTACGCTAGTGAATAGAGCCGATCGGAAAGCACTCGGTCGTCGATGATTCGAGTCGGTCTGCGCTGGATGCGGTCAATTGAAAGGAGCTGGCACGGGGGAGCCCCAGCCCAGAGATGGGTACAGTATTCCATGTGCGGCCGAACCTGCACCTTGTAACGTTGCAGGCGGTATGCCGACATGAAATAGTGTCCCGCTCTGCTGAGCACGCCAAGTTTTTTTGAGGCCAATTTGGCCTTCTCTTCCAAGTGACCACGAAAATGCACGTCACTCGATATGTCGATGCCGAGGATTCCGATACTGGCTGAGGCAACAAGGGATTGCCTTGAAACTGAGGAGATGCGACGAAGGGGTTCTTTTTAGTGGTAAACGCATTTTGTTTTTACAAAGCATCGACTTAAGATACAAGTTTGTCCCGGTACTCGGCGACGTTTTCCCGAGAAATATTGGCACGACCGGTATATAAAGCATCTTCAGTTCTGTCGTCTGCATAACAAGGAATGCTACCGATTTGCAACATGTCATTGATATGCAGAAGAAACAGCGTTGGTGATAGCACGCAGCGTTGTGAAACACCAGCATTTATAGGCTTGTAATCGGAGCTTGCACCATCTACAACGACCTTGATGCTCCGATCTGCAAGAACGCTGGTGATCCAATTGCACAATTTCTCGGGAAGCCCACAGGAAGGGAGCTTCGAAAGAAGCGCTTTGTGCCAAACCCGATCGAAGGCCTTTGCAATGTCCAAACCTCCAATGCCAATGCCTCCCACTTGGACTCTACTGCCCCCGTCCATCTGTGAGTTAGGTAGACCAGAAGATCACCAACTGATCGACCACGACGATATCCGTATTGGCGATCACTAATCAGCTGGTGATCCCCAGCGTACCTCATCAACTGGCAGTTTACAATGGACTCCATTATTTTGGAGAACAAGGAGGTGATGGCGATAGGCCTGTAGTTGGACGGGTCTGAGCGGTCGCCTTTTTTAGGAATCAGGTGGACGAAAGCCGTCTTCCATAATTTGCTGATTTGAAGTATAATTCCGCCTCAGGGTCCTTCAAAAGAGTCATTGCCAGTGCAAAGTCATAGCACATAGGCAGAATTGGCGAGAAACTAGTTCGCCTTCCTTCTGGAACCCGTGCATTCTGGTCTCTCGGCAAGGCTGTCCAGGAGGATTTCTGTCAGCCATCTCTTCCATATCTGCACAGAGAGGACGACTCACTGACCCATACCGCAAAGGAGAAAGCCGATCTGCTAGGCTCTATCTTTGCATCTAACTCGACTCTCGATGACGGGGAGAGTACGCCGCCGACCATTCCACGGTGTGAGTGCTGCATGCCGGAGGTGCAGTTCACACAGCGCTTGGTTCGCAAAGCACTCCTCTCCCTGGAAATCCACAAGTCGAGTGGACCTGAAGGAATCTTCCCAATTGTGCTGAGGACGTGTGCTCCAGAATTAGCACCTGTTTTAACGCGTCTTTTCCGGTACTCCTACTCCCTAGGCGTAGTCCCAAAGTTTCAAATATATGTAGAAGATCTGATTTTTCTTTCTTTTTAATGAGCTGAAAACAGTTTCTACTTCCCTCCTCCTTTTGCTTCTTCTATTAGAGCCAATATTGGTCGAAATCAGGAAAACATCACTTACTATGTAATTTAATTAACACGGCTAAAAATAATGATTTTAAAACGCGAACACTACATTTTAATTACTCTTTTATAGGTGTTAATTTACTTGTTTTTAATTCCCGATGTTTCGGGTGCTTTCCAGTACCCATGGTCATGAGGTCTGACGTGACTGATGACCCAATGTCAGTGCCAGCCCTGAGTAGCTTCAGTTTTTTTAATTATTATTTATGATCCGATACACGCAGAATGAACTTACTGTGTCTAGAAATCTTGTAGTGGTATGCCTGAATTTAGTTTTAATTTTATGAACTACAGGATCCCAAGCAAGTGGTAGTACCAAACCTCCTTCTTTATTGAAATTAGGACGTTTTTTAATTTCAATAGCCTCACGTATTATCCGTGGTAGGAATCGATATTCTTTCACGAGGATTTGTGGTCTATCAAATCTGATGTAATGGCGAGGGCCGTCTAGGATATGATCACAAACTACAGACTCCTCGGAACTTTGATGCTTCACATCAGTTATATGTTCTTTTACGCGGGTTTTGAATGGCCGTTTTGTTTGCCCTGTATTATAATAGAGACTACATTCACAATCAAGCTTGTAT